GCAGGCACTCTCGACTGACGAGTCTCGAATGGGACGAAGCACGTGTCCTTGATCACTCTGCTAGCCACAACCAGAACATTCATCGCAATAAGTATTCAGTCAATATCGCGCCATTCGCTTAGCAGCCCGTATGCTAACAGAGGTCGAGGAATTAGACTCCATCTAGAGATGACGGATTACAAGTGTGAGATAACGCTCGACAGCCGTTGCATAAAAGGTGGCTGTCGTGCCACGGTGGCCTAGTGGATAAGGATGTGTCATTTAACGCGACGGGTACTGGGTTCGAAGCCCACTCACTGGGATGCAGGTATATCCAGCTGACAAGTCCTAAACAGGACGAAACGTGTGACCTGGATTTCTCTGCTAGCTTCGACCAAGTCAGTTGTTAACCTTTTATTGTTTAGCTTACTTCTAGTCTCGATTCTTTGCCTAAGAACCAGTCTTGAAGCCTTGAGCAGGACTTGTTGCGGGTAAAACTTTGACAGTATATATATCATGTAGTTAGAATCGTCAAGGATGCGTAAATAACATTCATTGGAGTTCTGTTCTCAGAGGACTTTGAACCTACCGGATACGACATATATATCAGTGAAAACTCATCAACACAAAACAAACGTTCATCTCAGATTTCACAGTTTTACCGCCTGATGAAACTGATCTTAAAGTATTTAAAGCCACCAGTTTTTAAATACGAATTTTGGAATTCAGTTGTATTTTCTCCTTAAAAAATGGCAGTAAGTTGGGTACTGGGTTCGAGTCCCAGTGGTGACAGCGTTACTCCATGGAATGGAGGTACACCTAGCTAACAAGTCCAGAATAGGACGAAACGCCCATTGTGGATCGCACTGCCAATCACGGTGCAGAATACTACACAATGAATAGCCGCGTAACGTAGAGGCATCCGCCCAGGAGCCCATTGGCCAAAAAGACAGAGCAGTCCAATTCAGTATATCAACGAGAGATCGCAAGCACCAAACAATGAAATAAACTGATGTTTATATCTACGAGAAAGTTTTCTGTGGAGTTTGCGAAAGCCTATATATATATATATATATATATATATATATATATATATTCTAGAATTCTAGTTTAGACAAGCAGTTTTAAGTTGTATAACACTGTAACTTTTTCTTCATATTTACTTTTCAGTTGAATCTAATAAACTGTTGTTCAGTGGTAGATTACGAGTCTCGTTAACTCGATTTTTTCCGCATTTAAAAAATGACTAAAAAAGTCAGTGTTCTGAAAAGGATTGTTCAGAAATGAGAGGCAAAGTAGATGATGCTTAGATTTTATCTGATTGTACAACTGTTTATGATAGCATCCTCGTGGAATATTTATTCTGTAGTCATTACATTCCCATCTCTCTACCCCCTCTCTTCGTCTTCATCTCATTTCAAAAATATTAAAATATCTGATTTTCTGAAAACCGATTACTTGCAGAAAAAAAACACCTTAGTTGATTTCATTCCTTGCTGTAGTGATTATATTTCGTTTAAATTCATGTAATTAAATGGAATTTTTAAGTTTTATATCAACTCTTACTCCCTTTCTGTATACGCTTTGCACATTGGAACATTGAAAAAAGGAGAATAATAGTGAAGGGACATAAATTGATAATCATCTGCGTGGGTGGATGAAATTGTGAATAAAGTTACTGAGGTGTAATTTAGTGCTTTAACAGCAACATATTGATTCGTCCATTCTAGGGAGGTTTTCATGTGTGTGTGTGTGTGTGAACAAATAGAAACTGATGTCTCAACCATATTCATTTCACTCTTCCTAAAAACATTAGCTGAACAGTGCTGAATACCAATTAGAAATTTACTCAACTTCAGAGAACTGCGACAGCTTGTACCCAAAACGTCTGTGTCATATAAACTATGTAAAACAACAGGGAGTTTAAAGTGAATATTTTTCCCAAGAGTAGTATTTCAAATAATGCTGGGTGATGATTGGAAGTGAGATGAAAATATAGGTCACGGCAGGACTCGAACCAGCAACCCTCAGGTTACTGCGTCGGTATTCTATCAACTGAGATACGGCAGCCAACTGATGACCAGATCTTATTTTTACTTCAAACAGTAGCCAAGGATTTTGTCGGATTGCCGTGTTAACTCATAACGCGTTACCATCGCTTGGTCGTATTCAAGACTTCTCGTCTCTCGATTGGTAGAACACCGACCAGGAAATATGGAGGTTGCTGGCTTGAGTCCTGCCGAGGCCCATATTTTCATTTCACCTTCAACCATCACCCAGTATCATAACAAGTCTACCAAACCACGCTTATCTCAGGCAATCAAACTGATTGTAAATAATGCTTATTGCTTCTGGATGTTAAAGATAATGTTTTGCTAATAGGCATCAATCGAAAAAATATCCAGGTTCATAGGATTGCATGGATTATTTTTCACTATCATCTTCTTTAATAGGGCTATTTGCTTACTGTTGTATGTTAGTATATAATTTGTCAAGAATCTTATTCACCGCGGCCACCGTTTACTTTTTGTCAGTACTAAGGTCTTATTCCAGCTAGATTTGATGCCATAGTCATTTTATGCTATTCTGCTATCTTCAAGAGGTAACCTGTGCATCAACCGCCAATGATATCGCTTTATGCGGTAGGTATCAGAGAATTCTTCAGATTAAAGCATCTGAAAAATCAGCTGCAATTACTCATCAATAGAAATGATACTGTTACCTTGATGACGGTAGATTATCCGAAATTGATGTTTTTCTCAAAGGTTTGATAATTTTCAAAAATGTCTCTTTCACCGATACACATAGAGTGATAAAGGGTAAATTAATCGATGAAGGCGTTCAGGAGCTACACAAATTGCGCTTAGTTGTGACATTTTCAAACAATTTCCCTTCATACCAAGGTACAGTGTACAATATTGACAGCTTAATATACAAATCTTCATATGCTTACCTAGTCATTTTCATCGGTAAGTAGTATTTTCGAATCAATATCTAGCTACCTCTAGATTAAACAATGCTATCTAACTACTATAGGTTATACTGACCCTGAATACCACAAAAGTTAGCAATATGAATTTGACCTTTTGGAAAACTTGACCTATTGAAGAAGCTATTTTGTCTCAATCATCGTGTGTTGTTTAATCTGATGAACAAATGTAAAGCAGGTTAGGCGTTACCGTTATTTTATCAACATGTGGCAAATCAACGTAACTCTTTCAAAATAATCACGATGATTGTGTTTTATATGAGGTGGCCAAGGTTAAATTAAATTAAGGTTGAAAAATGTTTGATTAAACACAGCAGGAAATTTAATGAATAACTTGGATAACCTTTACGATTTATATACGCTTAAAATAGATTAGTTATCCTTCTAATTACTCTTGAAGTCTCCCGAGACTGATGTGAGCGGTATTTATTAGCCAGGAAGTATATCAATGACTTACCGCCTTTGAAAGTGTCATCACTAGGTGAAGATTCAACCGTTGAGATATTCTTTTCGAAAAGCTAAGAAGTTACGCTTCTATTGCTGATGCATGTTGTTAAGAAACATTAGTCTGTAAATTCCGGTGAACAAGGGTCTATAACTCTTTCCACCCACGAAATGTTCGCAACCTGGAAGAACTTGAAATTAAAACAAAGTATTGAGCAAGATCCCACAGCTCCAAAGAAGACTTTATTTATGAATGTTGGTTTTAAAGGTGATACGGTAGTAGAGATCCTGAGAGATCGACTGACCAAGTCACTGAAGAAGACATTCTTCCCTACGAAGCTACAGATCAGTTTCTCTAGTCAGCAATTGCTTGAGTGATGGGGTAAGGAAAAGTTGCCACTTTGGGTCACATCACTCTGTGTCTACAAATTTACTTGTTCCCGTGGAGCTAGTTATGTAGGCACCACGAAGCATGCACTTTCCAAACGTATCTCTGAGCACTATCTTACATGGTTGTCGAGGGGTGAATGTAAATCAATTAATACTTCATTGCTTGAACACTTGGTCAACTTTGAACATCTAGCTCCGCTAGAGTGCTCTTTCAGTGTCATTCAAAGTCAAAGGGAATAGTTCAGAAGGAGTTTGCTTTTGACAATTTTGAACAGCACAAGCACTGGCAATTCAACAATTCACGCCTGATCTCTGAGTCTAGAAGTATGTTCAATCTCTTATCTTACTTATCATGGTTTTAACACTCCCAATCTTTCGATCTCACTATAATGAATTAGTTTATTATTATCACCTTCATTATGGCACTTGTTTCTTTCTTCACCTTCAAGTGATCACTAAGTCATAGCATTTCCCATCTACCAACATTTTTCATCATGTCAAATTTCTTGCCTTTCTCACTATTTGCATTGTCTGAGTGATCATTATGCAACTCCTTTCACTTCTTGCTTTTAGTTTTAGCACCAGCTGGCTTAATGATACAACTACACTCTATTGTACCATAATAGACCGTTATATGTCTATGAGATATATAAATAAGATCCAATAGTTTTAGAAAATGATGTCGAAAAAGAAAATTTTCTTCGCTGTATTGCTTTTTCTTTTTTAATGACTCGATGGGCATGTTTTGTGCAATCTAGAAGTAAGCCATAAACTTCTGCCTTTGATAAATAAATTTCCTCAAAGCCATTGATAAGTGTGTTTATACCGTACCTTCAGAGCTTTGGATCGTCAATTTATAGACATCCAAACCAAGTTGGTATTTGGTATTTCATCAGTGTCAAGTGGTTTTGCAAGGGACAAGACAAAATCTCTACTCGTCTCACAAGAAATGGCTATCATGACACCCTGGCCAAGTGGATAATGTTCTGGCATTTGAAGCCACTGATCTTGGGTCCAAGTCTTAGCGAGAACAACACTAATCACTGGTACATCGCAGGTACATTCAGCTGACGAGTCCTAAGTGGGATGAAACGTGCGTCTTAGATTCCACTACTTGCAACTAGCCATAATTTTTATGAAATTGTGAAACAAATACGTATTTATAATTGCAACCAAGATAATTCAAATGATTACTTACCAAATTGCATAAATTTCCATTATTTATATCTCTTTGATATTGCAGTATACTGCTCGTAACATCAGTTGAATTCATAATGTCTCTGTGTTTTATTTAATGTACATTCCAGATTCTTAGTAAATCCCTTATTTCTGTGAATTGTTGTACAAACTTTTAATCCTGACTAAGGTCAGCGGTACGTGACAGCTAGTGTCATTTACATATATCTATAAATATAGTACATAACTTAGTCTTTTCACTCATCATAGCCTCATTCTCTCAATACATAAATATAAATACGTGAATACATATAGTTGTATCAAATTGAATTTGTTGATTCGTCAGTTCCCTAGCCAATCAGAAATAAGAAAGCAATTGTAACCAATGGTGAGTGAAGTAAGAATGGCGCCACATATGTTTGTTGAAAAAACTTTTTGAACAAAATATACAGGTATTTTCTGCCAACAGACTGCATCTTTCTGAATGTGAAAATGTAATCACAGGATCGCGAATAAAAACAAAAATACGTATTATATCATATCAAAAAATTCACAAAAACAATCATACTAGTTATATTTGTCGTTTATTTTGTCCATAATTAATTATTGTGGTTAGAAGAGAAATTTTCTTACAGTATATATATTTCCCTGATATTATTACTTTTTTCGACAATAATAGTGTTTTTATTTTATTTTAGCAGTTGGTAATGCGCATCAGCTGTTATGTACATGGGAAACACAGAATAGTGTAATTTTAGTGGTGTGAGACAATAACAACAGGGTAAAGATAATAAAGCATTCAGGTAGTATTCCTCCAGGACTGACATCAGCTGGAGAACCAGTGAAAATCTGGGAGTACTGGAGAAAAGTTTCGTTCTAGTATGAGATCCCTCAGTAGTACTCACCTACGACCACCCCAGAGATCGAACTCAGGACCTTCAGGTCTCGCGGTGAACGCGCTAACCATTCAGCCACTAGGTTAGAGTTCAGTGGCTCACAGTTTCCTACTTCTGTCAATTCCCGACGTAGCACGACTATCCACTAAGGTCTTCAGTTGGTATCCATTTCACATCCTACTACTGGTTGACTCCAAAAGTCATGACTTCTCGTTAAAACTTCGGGATATGCATCTCTTGGTTGTAAAAATATGAAACCACGTGTACTTTGTAAAATATGTACTGATATCTGATGTACATAAAACAAATGTTGTTGGAAGTTGATATGAGCTAATTAGGTGCTGTTAATTTGAACCTTTCATTAAAGTCTGCAGCATTGCCAGGGAGCTGCATAGCTTGAAATCCTGGTGCTATATATTTGTTATGATTTAGTTTAAAGCAGTCGACAAGGAGAACTCTATCAAGAAAACTTTTGTTTCTCTACAAAGTCAGTTGAGATCCAGTCCACTCAATTCTACCTAACCCATAGTTATCCAGTCAGTATTCTCTATCCAATAACCTAACACCTTCTACACTAAAAATCTGCCGACCAACTTGTTGTTGTGTGATATTGGCATTCTGAACACGACTGACAGTGGGAGCTGGAAAGTACTGACAGGTTTCGTATGCATTTATGTGAGTGCTGTTACTTTCGGGGATAATTAAACAGTGTGAGTAGTATTCAGACGTTATCATAGTTGTGAAGTAACCTGTTGGCCTGCAACAATTACTTGTTATGTAGAAAGTGTTTGTTGCTTATAAGCCGTCACCACTGACTTGAACTGTAAGTCATTTTTGTCAGGGTGAGCCCGCCATGTCTGTCTGAAAGTAACGAAAAAGTTGACCAAAACTAAATCTCCTCATTTCTTGGCATCTGATCTGTAAAAGAAATTGCATAATCGTACATGAAGTGACTGTGAGTGGAAAATTGATTCTTGCTGAATATTGTTAACTTGATGAGACCCATCTCAGCTTTTCAAAGCCAAGCGAAAACGTTTGACACATAATACTCAAGCCAGATGACACAACACTCCAGTACTCTGTAGTCTGGTGAAGGATGTTCAAAGTTAATTGATTGGATGGCTGTTAGGGGGTAGTCGTCTCCTGAATAACTTAAGGGTATTGAGTGGCACATTCTTAGCCCCTGGAGAAGTTAAAGTTCCTGAGGGTTATACTTATGCTTTGCTTGCTGGTGCCACCATGCACAAAACTTTGGTCAAGAAGTGTTTCCTGTCAGTTGTATAATGGTGTCTAATAGTATGATTGTTTTCAATCAACAGATAGAAGAGAGTAAGGTGGAGTTAGATCTAAAAGTACAAGGAGTTTGTGCACAGAATCTTGAACTTGACAAGTACAACAAAGGAAGAGTGAGTTGATTAAGTGGAATTTTACTTCAGCTGTGTATATAACTCAACAATCTGGTTGTTTGATCTCAGGAGCTGTCATTGTCATTTCATGTCTCAAGACACATAATTTAGCCAATATCGAAAAGCTTTCATCTAAACAGAAGGCAAAAATATGTAAAGAACTTCTTTAGATTTTCACCGGTAGCTTAGAAAGCAAAGCGAGTTTTCGAACAAAAAACCACACTAAATTTTCATCAACTGTAATTTGCCTGAAATTATGATGGAAATAAGGATTCAAGAATAAAAATAGTAGCATAATTTCAACTTTGAATTTGATAAGGGAATCGGACGAAAATTTCCGAAATAAGAGGAAAAGAAATCTGGTAGCAAAAGCGATACCAACAAATAAGGGACAATGTAGACAAAGTGCAAAATACGAACAAAATCGTCGCACTTAAAAGTGACACATTAGTAGGAAATGGGTCTAATTAAGATAATGTCTCATAACACATGCCAGTTAATGATTAATTAAAAAAGTGACCCCATTTCACCCTTCGCATGACTAACTTAGATGAGGAGATCTAATATCGATCATTTTTGAAGTATGGAGAAGCCATACTGACTAGTCACTGGTAAGCATCTGACTTCATTTTATATAGTCCTATGTACTAACCAAATTCTGTCGGTTATTTTGCTATGTAGACACCAGACTGGGGTACTCAGCATCACTATGCACTTTGTTTGTTTTAAGAGGGTCAACTGCAGATACACCTTGTTAACAATTACCAGATAGCCGGAAATATAGGTCAAGGGCTGCCTACTGATCACCCCCAGTTGTCAAAGCATTAGTCAAGAAGGGACCTCAATGAGGAATCTCCTTGCTTGGTGGTCATTTTGCAAAAATGTTAGACAGAGTTTCGTCAGTACTTAGGACTATACAATATGAAGTCAGTTGCTTACCAATGACCAGTCAGTATGGCTTCGCCATACTTCAAAAACGATCGGTATTAGATCTCATCTAAGTTAGTTATACGAAGGGGAAAATGGGGTCACTTTTTTAGTTAATCATTAACTGGCACGTGTTATAAGATATTCTCTTAATTAGACCCGTTTCCTACTAATGTATCACTTTTAAGTGCTCTGGTTCTACTCTTGTACTAATATACAACATTAAATTGGTTACGCTCTAGTGACCAATCAGCGTATGTAATTCAGTCCGACAGGCGGTCATTTGTGGCTTGGATAGCTCATTGGAAACGACGCTAACTGCGACACTTGGTAACGCGGGTTTGAGGCTCAGGGAGACATTACCTACATTGGGGTTCCAGACTTGTCCTACTGCCAAGTGCCAACAAGCATGAAACCTAGGTCCAGCAGTGCCTCCTAGTAATCGCCTCCAATCAGTTAACCTGAAGGTGTTTATGATGTCGAGTTAATATTCACCATCTTTCCACCAGTACTTCCTATACATTCAGCTCCACAAGTGCACCATTGGTGATTTTAAACAGAATATCGATTGGTGTTATTGCTCGTATTATATCATCTTTACTATAAGTAGAACACAAGTATATCGAGGCACCCGCACAGGAGCCCATATACCAACAAAGACCTATCAATTCGGTCCAGTCAATGACGGTATAATACAAGCAATAACACTAAAACTATACCCGTCGCACAAGAAGTGGCTGTCGTAACTTGGTGGTGTAGCGGAAGCGATCGCTCCCGAGTCTGAATCTAGGTGGGAACAACATCACTCACTGGGGGGGCAAGTACACCCAGCTGGATTCCACTACTAGTCATTATCCACCTTTACTACAACTAGAATATCGATTACTAGTGATACATTACCAACCACCGATTACTGATTACAACATTTGTTGATTATTTTACATTGATGACGATTAAATAAGTTAAGTTAACAGGATGTTGGTAACAGAAACCTGCTATTCACTCTCTAAGATATGGCTAAGTAAAGTATTTCTCCTATGAAAGTGATTGGAACAAAAGTATCACCTGATGATATTCTCACTATTTCGGATTTCGCCTTACTTTTTCACTTGGTGCCATCTTTTGATTCATTTCATCATCTTCCCTTCGATATTGCTGTGAATCTTGGAACAGTCAACTAATATGTTTTTGTATGGCCTTGGTTTACCTGTCTCCTAGGTTAGTTCATGGTCTACACATATGTGACTCTAAGAGAGTTGACCACAATCTCAAAACGCATCATTTCCAGTTTTATCACCTTTTATACTTGACATTATGAGTCACACGTTCTTCAGTGAGATTCTAACGCGTATCCTTTAAGACAGGAGTTTGTAGTAACTGACGTTTCACATGTCGCTGGTAAGTAATCTATTTTGTGAACCCATCATCACGGTCAATCGAAAGTGACTGACCAAATTTCTCAATGTGTCTAACACACCAGATGGTTTCATTGCAGTTGCTAGCACGATCAGGGTATACTGACCACGTGTTTGTGGATTAGTTTCAGAGTAAATCATTTAAAATCGGTCATTGATCCATGATGAAAAAGCAAAACCTCTCATGGAGCATACATAAAGGAGCGACATAGAAATGATGAGTGTTTTCAGAACATAACAACACGAATAGTTAATGTCCTTCGAGCTCTGGGTTTGTTCTTGGACGTCTTGTCACCATACTAGGTGACTTCATTATCATTTAAATTGTATAGAATAGTTACTTACTTCTATTATTCACCTGTGCACATCCGTGTAGCACGACACGTCTGTCTAACATGAAGTAAAACCATAGGATTTACTTCGGATAATCTTGTATCAGATCACTGGAGTATATTAGTCAATGTGTATTTTTAATATTGAATGGAATGGGAAAGCTTAGACAATAGTTATAGACTACGGTTAATTCTAAGTACTTTTTACCGTTGTAAATATCTTTCCACGTCTACTCTGCTCATGAGTTGGGTGGATCTGTGAACTAACTAACTTTAAACATTCTTTTAACCATGGGAGTTTGGTTTCA